AGATTGTTAGAATAAACTTTGATGACAATAGTACTATATGCATGTATAAGTACGCCCGATGTTACTTCGCTGAATTCCGCGAACAATCGTGTTTCACAGTAACGTGCTATTAGGTCATAAAAAGGTGCTAGTGTTATAATCATATCTTGTTTTAGTTGTTTCAGACTTTACTAATACAAAGTAATATATGTCAGTTCTGGATCACACATATGGATATTACTTGATAGTCATGCGTTAGAAAATATACATTTAAAATATTGTAAAAAGTGGTTAGGAGATATAATAATAATAATTTTATCGATTGATAACTAGGTTAAAATCTTTTAAAACAATGAGAGCTGTTAACGTTATAAAATACTGGAAAAAGGTTGTTCAGTCAAGTAGTAAAATATATGTCAAAGTGTTTTTGTCATTTGCGTTCATTGAACGCCGCTTATCCTTGTTGATCTTGTTTATCATAGAATTATCTTATGTGTAGAGATTTAGAACTTAAACCCAATTCAATGGTATCGTCTATGTCTGAAACGTTTTAGTTACAATCCTAGGTTTCAATGATGTATAGATTAATCTGGGTGTTGGAAATGTTGGAGATGCTAATATATTTTAGCAGTAGTAAAACAAAGATTAACATAATTTATACAAAATTGGTATACACTTTGTGCTTCATCCAGAGCAAAAAAGTTATGTACTTTTTTGTGATTTTGGTTTTAAATAATATCTGTCAATGGCTAATATTGAATAGTTTAGGAAATCTTTATCACGTTTCAGATCTTTTTGGCATATATTAAAAGAAGAAACTGGTAGATGGCACAAATCTGAAGCAATTCCTTGTAATTAAAGACAATGCAATAGTTGATCTCAATTGAATTTCGTGTATTTTTAGAATGTCTAATGTACACTGTTTTGAGAAAACAGCTTATAAATGAATAGTTTTGGAAAAGATGAAATATACCTAAATTTATTTAATTGTTAACATCGCAAAATGAAAATGTTTTAAGAAAATTATCAATGGTTATCTTTAAAATGTTAGAGTTAAGGACAAATATTGAATACTTATAAATTATATTTGCAAGGTTTTCAAACTTTCATTTCCATTTTAAGTTTTACAGCAAGTAAACACCATAAGATTCATTTTAAAATAATTGTAGTGAATAATAAATACCTTAATAGTTAAATGTAATGTTTCTTCATTTGAACTTGTGCCTCATTTACACAATGATGTTAAACTGAAATTCTGTTTAGGATTTATCGCATTAGTATGGTCATACCTGTAATACATTTGGAAGAATGTTGTTCTACTTAAAATCTTAAAAATGTTGATATCTTATGAAACTTATCTTGAAAGCATAATTATTAAAATGAATAAACATTATTGATGTCAAAATTATGCAAGAGTATTTAAAGCTGTCACGCAAGTAACGAATGTTCCCCGAAAAAGCTTCATGCTTTGTCAGTAGGGACATGGTGTTTTACGCAACACATCGTCTTGATGTGGTAGACATTTATTCCAAGATATGCTAAAATCCTTTGATGCATGACACAGTTACAGCCCGGACACAGATGAGTGTACTTATAAACTCTTATTGTGATTAAGCAAAACTTCAGAATGTAGTAGTAACCTTGACCTTAAAGGTAGGGACGTGGTTCTTGGATGCAACACATCGTCTTGATGTGGTAGACATTTGTGCCAGTCTATTTTAAAATCCCATATATATGACAAAGTTAAAGTACGGACATGCATGTGTGTACCTATAATCTCTACTTGTGATAATGTGAACCTTTTAAATATAAGTGTGACCTTGACCTTTGAAGAAGGGCCGTGGTTTTTAGACGCGACAAACGTTGTTATGTGATTAACATTTGTGCCAAGTTATTTCAAAATCCCTCAATGCATGACACAGTTACGGTCTGGACATGATTGTTGTGTAAGTGGGGACGCACGGACGGACATAGTGATATGAGCCTTGACCGCGACATATTGTTTGGATGTGGTAGACATTTGTGCCAATTATTTGAAAATTCTTTTTATGCAGTTACAGGCTGGACATGAATGTGTTTCTATAAACTCTTCTCGAGAGAATGAGTACCTTCAAGCTATAACAGTGACCTTGACATTGAAGGTAGTGACATGATTCTTTAACGCGACACATCGTCTTGATGTGGTAGACATTTATGCCACGTTATTTTAAAATCCTTCCATGCAGTTATAGTCTTGACATGAATGTGTATATTCAAACTCTTCTCGAGAGAATGAGTACCTTCAAACTATAAGTGTGACCTTGACCTTGAAGGTAGGGACATGATTCTTTGATGTAACACATCGTCTTGATGTGGTAGACATTTATGCCAAGTTATTCTAAAATCCTTTGATGACTGACAAAGTTACAGTCCGGACACACATGCGTGTACTTATAAACTTTTATTGTGATAAAGTGACACTTCTAAATGTTAGTGTGACCTTGATCTTTGAGGTAGGGACTAATTCATGGACGTGACACATCGTCTTGATGTGGTAGACATTTATACCTAGACAGTAATTTTAAAATCCTTTAATGCATGACAAAGTTACAGTCCGGACACGAATGTGTGTAACTATTAACTCTAATTGCGATAATATGAAACTTCAAAATGTTAGTGTGACCTTGACCTTTGAGGTATGGACTTGGTTCTTGGACGCGACACATCGTCATGATGTGGTTGACATTTATACATAGTTATTTTAAAATCCTTCAATGTACATGTATTACAAAGTTACAGTCCGGATACAAATAAAGTCGGGACGCACTGACAGACAGACGGACAGACAGACAGTTCGATTTTATTATGCCTCCCTTCGGGGCCATAAACAATATATTACAAACGTGCAGGATTACACTTTACCTTATCTACAAAAGAACAACAAGTAAAATGAACAGATTAAGCAGTCTATCTACCATTCATTTTAGTTCGTTATAATTTACAGAAGATTTGAATATTCCCCCTAAAACCAAACCCATTCTTTTGTGAGTTGGTGTAGTAATAAAACAAAAAGAATCTTTCAAAAAGATACTAAGCCGAAGATAAACATGCAAAATTATGCTTTTTCTAAGTTTTAAATACAAGATGTAATGTTAGCAATGCTTGCATTACAATGACATAATAATTAATTATTGTAGCTAAGAAAGTACCTATTTTGTAAACATTGAAATTTAATTATAACATATTGTTTTTCAAAGTACGATAGCTTTTTCTTTAGATGTCTCCTTTACTTTTATATCTGTCTTTAAATATTTTGTAATCATTTACAAATTAAACTAAAAGTTAAAAAAATATTCTCATGCCTATACATTTTTTTTATTTTAAAACTACCCTTTACATTATACAACCTATAGTCCCTTACATTTTATTTCAGAGTTATCCTTTACATTTTATTTTAGATTTGTTTGAACTATCCTTTACATTTTATTTCAGAATGACCAAAAGCACCTAATTATGTACATAACACTAATGGTCTCAACCCGGTACGGAATTAGACCCAACCCGTAGCCTAGAAGTTCTTTATAATTTTGAAGTGGCCCAATTTAAGTCATCTCTAGTTAGATTGGTCATAATAAAAGTTTAACTATTGCATATGTGTAGTTTTTGTGTGTTATATGATGCCTTTAAAAGTTTTTTGTGTATTCTCCAGGAACTCATTTGTTGGCGGCAGGATTAAAGATGTACATGTATTACCCACCAGCAGTCATGAGTTTTTAAAGTGGTGAATTTAAACAGTGTTACAACAGAATGAAGATTTCTGAAAAAGTAGATGGCTAACCTATTATATTTTGGGCCTCATTGGACTTAAAGCTAATGTTCAAAGTTGAAGACAGTAAATAATTCATCAAGAACAGTGGAATCCAGAATAAAGCCTCAAATGTGACTGATTTACTATAGAACAAAGAATACGAAAATTAACCGGGCTGATTCCTAATATGTGTATACTACTACGGTGTCTCTAATTTTCTTTCATTATTTGATGGAAAAACTTAATGTGTTTGAAAATAAAATTTTCAAAGTTCCTTTCATGTCTTTCTAAAATTTAACAAAAAAAAATATTTATAATAACGAAAATCTATAAAATTAAAACATTTGTACTGGCATCTGCAACCTGTATGCCTACTTTAAATTTTGCATGGATTTATTCACACAATGGTATGTTAAAAAAGAAATCATTGTTTTATTTCACTTAATAAAAAACACCTACAGAGTGTATTAACAAGCCATATATTATGAATGATATGACGGGTGACTTTCTAATCGACCGTCTCCGGTCTTCGACGGTCACTGGTCTCCAAAGACCTTCTATTGATCGATTTTTTTCAACTATATTCTCAATTTAAGTTGTTTTTTTTTTCAAACAATTTTGAAAAGATTTGAATAAAATACCTTGCTAAATACATTGCTAAATTCAAAACCCAACAGAAATCATGAAATGAACAGAATAAAAAAAGGGTTAACCCCCATGAATTAGTCACTACGGTACACATTGGTCGCCTTACAGTGACTTACTTTTGAATGAAAATTCATATCTTTGTGGAAATTGCACGGAGGTAAATTATCATAATTTCGTGCTTCAAAAATTATCACTTTAGGGATATGACGCGATTGTACTCTGTAGCGACAGCTTCTTTCCATGCCTTTACGGCGTATGGATCCTTATTTAGCACACAGATACATTTTTGTTATTGAAAGTCTCTCTTAATTATACAAGAAAAGAATAACAATGTGATTTTACAGTCAGGACATTGATATCAAATAAAGGTCATAAGTTTTTTATACAATTTTTCTGAAAAGAATAAACGAGTGCGTATATGCATTTTTCTCAAAACTGAACTGAAAATGTATTATTTTTTATATGACACTTGATTTATGTCTATGATATAGAATGAAATCAATGTTAATGAAATAACATACACATCATGTGAAAAAAAAAGAAAATAAACATTGCTTGCGTAAAATTTCTTTTCCAACTTGAAGTTTTATGATTTCACCAGTACACCTGAAAATGTATTCCAGTAGATACTCGTAGTTACTAATAAACTACTGCTGTGAGAATACTTTACGTAAACTTTTGAATCTTTATGAAGTACGGTAACAGTGTCTGTAGTGTAACATGTATTCCATTTCAAATCACAGAACCATCCTTTCTTTATTTCAACACCATCTGCAACTATTGCATAATACATATTTTTCCCACCAGCAACACAAAAATGCACAGAAAACGTATATGTTCCCGCGACTGGTGCTGTGAATATCCCGCTCTTGTTATCATAACCGAGACCTTTGTTCAACGTCGTTGTCTTAAACACAAGTGTTTCTCCAGCATTCGGTGTTAAATTAACAAGGTCCTTACATCTGAATGTGACTGTGGGTCCTAGATAAATGTAATTTAAATGTTTGTAAACAAAATGTGGTGGGTGACAAAAGCATGTTTAAATTAAAATATATGTTATCAATAGATTAAAAAAAGTTTGTTTTCATTTGTCATCTTCATGTATCATTATTTTTACTTATTCTCTGACTAACTGACTAAACTGGGATTGAACTTGGTACTTAGCATCCTGGCAGGAACAAGTTAAAATTTCATTGAATATCACAATTCAAAAATTGTCTTTCTTTAATTTAAGGTATTAAATACAATTAATCACTATCTTTTTTCCAGCAGCTTACAAATAATGCTAATTCTAGGTCAATTATAATTTAAGTAGTTTTACCTTTCAGTTTTTCTATTTTAGCAGCATAGTTTCGAATATTTTTATTGGCTTCTTCCGTCAGCTCGTCAGTAACACGTTTCAATTTTGTCCTTTCATTATTCAAATCTCGAAGCTGCTGGGTTGTTTCTGTCAGGTTTCCTAGGGCATCAAGCACTTGCTGCTGAGTTTCCGCCATATTCGCCTGTAGTTTTTCAATGGCTATTTCCTGTCGAATCATTTTGTTTAAAGTCTGTTCCTCGTAGTGGAATCTTGAACATTCTGGTTCAGATAGCACTGCACTGATAAACAGTAATGCATTTAATCTTTGAAACATAATTATATGTTGTCTCCTCTGTCGTCATTGTAGTGAGTCTTTTATGAGATATTTGTAATGAAATAATTTGTAGAAGGGTTGTTTCGCAAGTTATTTAATCTTATTTAGATCGGTTCATTATTTTAGTACTTAGACTGTTCAATGTTTTTTATCTTAATAATTGTTAGCCTAAAATAACATGTTCTGATTTATCCCAGTCTTTCCTGTCAGTTATCACATAATGCTTGTAATTTATTTGTTCCTTTCATACATTTATTGATGACTGTTTCATAATATTAAGTTTGGCTATAATGACATTGTGTGTTGATAACATCATTGTAAACGATGAGAACAAAGATCAACAAGACAGGGCAACGTTCACCGCAAATAATTGCACAACTTGGAAGAATCCAAAGTCCATTTCATGACTCAAACTCACAGCGAAGAGGTGCAAGTTGTCAACAACTGCAAGTCAACAACCTTAACGATTCGACCACGAATGACCCTTAGACGATAATTGACACACCTTTAGTGAAAAATTAAAAAAATCCTTGCTGGCCTGTAGAGTGGTTTACGTTTAAAGATTATTGTTCATCATAATTTACATCTTTTGCATTGCGAGTTATATGTTTCTTTTGCAGTATTCTGCAATTTAGAAATTTTATTTATATTGTTAAGGCAAGATTCAGATAGTCATGATAGTTTATGATGTTTGAGGTCTTTAATTCATTATTGTTTATATTGATTAATCATTATTATGACCCATTATACCATTATATTGTATTTTTGTTATAATAGACCATGTTTTTGTTTGGTGTTTTCTCGGTGTCCTACTTGGATGTGTCGGGGGCTGCGTCCTGTGAACGTTGCCTTTGCCTTGTTGATCTTTATTCTTGTTTGTTTTATTCATATTCACGAAGTTTATACTTTGCAAAAGACGATTACTACGTTCTTTTTATTTCTGGCATAAAATGTAAATGATTGATTTCTTGCCGTGTGCAGGGCTTGTTAGTATCAGGTTATTTGCCATCTATTGTTTTCTGTGGAACAAATACATGAAGACCTGAATATGGTGTTTCTCAGATGAAAGTCCATCTGTGAATGAAAAGTTTCATGTTAGTGAACATAATACTTTCTCTTTGTATATCAATATATTATTAACCATCCCCTTGATGGCTGCTTTTTTTCTTTTTTTCGAGCTACTTTTCTAAATCACATCAACGTTTATCACATTATATAGAACTTGTTCTTGTGTTACATATTTTGAAATAGTGTTAATGTTATCATTTTATTATTTTGAAATTTCACCAAAGGATGGCGCAAAAGATAAATTTGACGTCAATTTTGCGTTAATCAACAACAGAAACTTTCAAAGAAACAGGTTCTAATCAGACAGTGCTGTTATTTGTTATCATGGTTTTGTAGGCTATATTTTTCATCAATTTCAAGTGGTTAAAAGCTTCATGTCTAGTGAATTATGCTGTTCGTTCATCTTAAAAACTTTAAAGACGAAGGATTTCATAAATTGGCATGACATTCTACAACAGCAGAGTGAACAAAATATCAAAATATCATTTTTTATATTATATATCTCTGTCACTGAGTAAATCATGTGTACAACATATTACTATTACAAAAATAATAACTTAATATTTGTTTACATTATTATGACACCTGTTTGTAAATTGTTATCTTAAAGAATCTTAACTATGTGTATATTATTATTACCCATACGACAATGCAAAATGATAGTATACTTAATGACAGGGACCTTGTTATATTTCATGTCACTTGTGGAGTTGAAAATAAACTGAAAGCATACAAGGAGGGGAAGTAACCGTGTCTAATTTTTGCACAGTTTAATGTGTTCGTTGTATCCCTTTATATAGATTAACTATATCTTGTATCATAGTTTGGGGACCTTTCTGTTGGAAAAGTGTCAGAGTTTAATCGTATACATATACATGCACAGTGCATTAACTGGAGTGCAGGTATCAGTTTACTAATTGTGACGGCAGAGAAAGGGAAAGCGGCAGAAATATCATATTTAGATGCTCGTTCACTGGTTACTTTTTTCGGGGTTTCATATTCTGGCAACATATTCTGGAACGTGTTGTTATGTTTGACTATGATACAAAAGAGAAAGAACACCAAAACACTCGGTAATCTGATTTACACTCGGGGGCTACGCTCCTCGTACAAATCAGATAGCCTCGTGTTTCGTACTTATATTTGTATTGTCTTTGGAGATGAAGAACGTGATTATAGGGACATTGTCATACCGATGTAGACGAGGCTACTTCTAATGTTTTAAGCTTCTTGGTGGAATATTTCCACATTCAGTCAAAAGCGAGATCATAGAATGAACTAAAGGCATTTTGCGCAATAAATTCGTAATTGAGCTGGACTTAAGTGGAGTGTTAAGCATATATATACATGTACAAACGGAATGTTTATCTTACCATAAGCACATTTACATCCTGAAACAGGGAGATATTGACAACATAAAATTATAAAAAATCTCATAAATTGTGAAATGTTAAATTCCATCTGATATCGCGTTATGTTAAAATAGTAAAAAACGATTTACACTAAAGCGGACGCACTGTTGAATTTAATGTTATTTTAACGTAAATAAAACACATGCTCGTTTAATGAATTCAACCTCCTCAAACAAAAAATAAAACAGCCACTGTGGTTCTTTTGACATGTTAAGATTAAATCAAACCCGTACAATGGTTTAAGTAATTTCACAAAATGAATATATTAGATTATTTCTTTGAATTCTAAGTTCATGTTTTTGATGGATTTCACAATTTTGCCCGATTTATTTCTTAATAAAAAGAAATTGAAACGTACTGTAAATGTACACTTCTTCAATAAAGTGTATATATTGATACGATATTTGGTGTAAAGTACTTTGAATTTTCAATTTATTATTTCTAAAAAATATCAAGAAAAAGAAAATAAAGTTTTAATGATTCATATTTAGCATAAATAGGATTTGAAATTCCATGCTGAAGTTGTTATGATACCATTTCTAAATGTTTTAATGACAGTTTGAAGCGAGAAGATTACGCGCCGCAACTCAACTCCTACCATGAACACCACCGGTGCTACGCTCCAATTTCAATTCTGCAATTTCCGTTGCTATTCTAGTACAAGGAAACAAAAAGCGTTAATGTAGATAGGTCTCTTTTTCTGGTAATTTTTCAATAGTATTAATCAATTGTTTTTCTTTTGTTGCAACCGTAGTAAGACCGGCCTACTGTGATAAAATATTCATTTTATTTCTCAGCTCTTGAGAGATTAAATTGCAAAAGTCCTCGACCCACCGCTTTGTTCAAGAAAAAAAAAATTTTGGCAAATGCTCTTAGACTAGTTACTTCAAATGAGAATGAAAGAAGCTGAAGAAAACAATTTATTTAAACTTTGCATGATTTTAAAACACGATAACAGAAATATTTAAAGAAAAATCAATTGTTGGTCATCAAGCTCGTTTTCGAGTTAACAGTCCCTGAGTTTGAAATCTTTACTGACTTCATTGACAGTTAATTCAAAAGCAAAGCTGTCAAGGCCCTAAGTTTGTTGTTTTTGTAATAGATATCTTTGTTATAAAGAGTGATTCCCTATGTAAAATACAAACATGAAAAGCGAGAAACAAAATTTACTATCCTCGAAAACTTCAGAATGTAGCAGCATTTAAAGCAGCATGCCTACAGATTCAACTAATTTTCATGCAATTAAAAAAACTAATTTAAAATAAAAAATATTGTGAAGTGAACGAATAACATAATTTACTCATTGCAAATGGCATTTACTACCCATGTTAATTAGCAAAAAGAGGCAAAAAATGTCCGCAAATAGCCCTTATTACGTTAGTCACGCAGCTGAAACATGGTGATAAATACTGTAAAACCAACCATTAATCGCTTATAACATGTTAATTATAACTTGCTTTTTAAAATGTTTCTTAAAGTCTTATTTTTTAGGCTCATCTGAAGGCATGCCACTTTAAACCTTGTTTATAACTGGTTGTTTCTATGACAAATCAAATAATCAACAACTTTTTTTTTATCACAAATCATTCTTTTGATATATCTATTCTTCCACTGTAAAACGGGTAAACTATTTCAGAAATGCATATATCCACTGTTCAATTACGTATTATTGAACAGATTGAAAACACTAGAAACGCGGAGGTAACCTAAAAGCAATGAAAAACAAAAACAAATAATATTAAAAAGATTAGTAGACCCGGCAAAAGATATATATGAGAATATCTTAAGCCCCTCTCTAGTGCCTACCTAAGAAGTAATCTGTGTTTATTACTAAAATGTTTTAAAATCAATAATCCATAAGGACTTGAAAAATGTATTTACACCGAGATGAAGGACACCGCAAGTTGTAGGTCAACGGAAAACTAAAATAACGTGTCTGCACATCGCTTGTTTTGTCTATTCTACGTTTAAAATAGAGGTTTACAATGGACACAAAACACTTAAAGGGACTCGCCTGAGTTCCTTTAACATAATTAAAAAAAATAGTTTGAAAACCATTTAATTAAGGTTTGTTTTCTAGTGGAGTGGTCTCCAATGGTCATATTTATCATACATAGTAAACATATTTCAAATATTGATAAAACAATAGGAATGTATCACTTGGATACTCTTATTAAAGTTGCATGAAAAAAGTTCTTAGTGATCTAGAATGAACATTTATCTAATGAATAATGAATTATAGTATTTGGTTTAAGAACGTTTTAATATCTGCTATATAGATATATGTAATATAGGATAATGTATCTCACATTTGCCAATAAGATCCAAATAAAATTAGTTCATGGTTTGTTGTTATGTCTGATACTCAACACTTTTAACTTATAATACACCTTTCATTTATTGACCATCCCACTTTAATTAAGTTTAACATTTGATATCTGTTAAAAAATTCAAAATTAATGTTTTGGGGGTTTTAGACCTCGAAGGAGTTCCTTTAAAATCTGCTTTTTGTTGATTATTTTCTTCTTTTATCTGGGGGGGGGGGGGGGGGTAAAATTCGGAAAAGTTTTGATTGAATTTCACGCATCAATTTCATTTGAATGTGTTTAATGTAATTTTCTTACATGATCTTCAAAAGACATGTGTTTATTATCTAATTTCAAGGAGAAACATCGATGTGTTAAATCACAAATTAGATCTATTTACAAACTGTCCTTTCAAGTGCATATGAAAAGGTTAGAAAACAAGTATATCGAAGATTGAATTTTGGACACAGGGATATAGGAACGACCTTACAAATTCAAAGAACGCGGATAATTTTTAATCTTTTTTTAAAAATAGAGTTTTCCCGGAAGACCCTTATAAGACCCTTAAATAATAAATGTCATCCGGAACTTGGCAAATGTGTTTTTTTCACAACTAATCCGTAGGTACAAACAAACTATAGCTTCACGGTGCATTACCCGTCACAAGTTTCACACGTGTTTTCGCAGTAAAATGTTATGAGGCCGTAAAAAGTATAATTGTAATTATTATAGTTTTATTTTGTTTAAGTAATTTTAGGCTTTACAAATTACAATGTAATCTATGTCAGTTCTGGATTTGAACTATGGGTATAACATGATAGTCATGTTTTGGAAAATATAAATTTAAAATATGGTAAGAAGTTGTTGGGAGTTAAAAGACAAACACAAAATAATTTCATCAATGGAGAAGTAGGAAAAAATCTTTTAACGCAATGAGACCTGTTAACGATATAAAATACTGGTTACAAATTATTAAGCCAAGTACGAGGTATAGTCAAAAAGTTCCCGGACTGGTCTGTTTAAAAAGATTATTGACGTCCGCTTGTCATGAAATTTACCATGAAGATATTTTTAACTAATTTGAGTAGCAACATGTATGAAAAAAAATCAATTTAGTAAATATTTGGAAATTATTTTTCACATGAAACATGCCCACAACCCGTGTACGGGGCATTTCAGAATTAATTTGATTTTCTAGAAGTGAATAATACTCTTTCATGAATGTCTCAAAATACTGGCGCCGGAACGGCGTGACTTTTGTACGTTACGTCAGCTGAACGTTGCTAGTAAACAACTGCAAAAAATCAGCGTGATCGGATGACGTATCGCCATTCATTTTGTGCACGATTATTCAAGCCACGTGAAAATTTCTATACGAAAAAATGTCTACCTCAGAAAAACGTACGGAGCAGCGGGCAGTTATAAAATTCTGTGCGATGTCTGGAATGACTCCGACTGATACCTGGAAGTTTTTGAATCAGAAGGAGGGTGTTCATAATTGTTCTAGGACACTTGTGTTTGACTGGCACAAGCGTTTTAGGGAAGGTCAGACGGAAATTACCGATAGTGCACGAAGCGGAAGACCGGGTAACGATCAGCGCTTAATCCAAGATGTGAAGGACGTCATCGCCAAAGATCGGAGAAAGTCGATTGATTATATACCGCCGGGCTTTGTCATAGAACTGTACATAAGATAGTGAACCGCCTCCGTGGTCGAGGGGTTTGAGTCGATGACTTCTAATCCAGTTACCTCTCTGGCGTGGGTTCGATCCCCGGGAGATGTTTTGGTAGTTTAGTGCGGAGGAAGGTAGTCTAGTACTGGTGTAACTCTCAAGGAACGATGGTTAGGAAACTACCTGCCTATATGACTGAAATACTGTTGGGAAAAGGCGTAAAATGAAACAAACAAATAAACAAACATAAGATAGTGACGAAGGATTTAAACATAAATAAGGTATGCGCCCGCTGGGTACCTAGGTTACTTACAGATGAAAACAAAGCAACCCGTGTAGACGCTTCCCGAGAATTTTTACGGCGATGTGATAGAGACGGCGAACGATTCCTAAGGCGTATTATCACTACGGATGAGACGTGGGTGAACTTTTACGTCCCGGAGAGTAAACGAGAGTCGATGGTGTGGAAGCGACCTTCATCACCTCCCCCCCAAGAAGGCGAAAACATGCAAGCCGGCAAAGAAAGTTATGTATATTTTCTTCATGGATAGCCAGGGTATGCTGTTGCAACATGCGGTGCCAAGATCGGCGACAGTCAACAAAGAGTACTATCAAAAGGTAAGCATTAATTATGTTGCATGAAATGTTTTTACTAAATTTCTATGTTTATTTATATGTAAGGTGAAAAGTATATAAAATATAACAAAAAGTGAAAGAAACTATTATTTTTATAATTTGCCGCATTTGTGGTAGTTTCACATAAAATGAATTTGTTATTAACAGGTTGTGCGGGGGGATCTAACGAACGCTATCAGGAAAAAGCGAGCAGGGTGCGACGTCGAAAATTTCATTTTTCATCAAGATAACGCTCCAGCACACCGCGCAGACGAGACACTCCTTACTATTGACTTCTTAGGATATGAGCGGCTACGTCATCCCCCTTATAGCCCCGATCTCGCCCCCTTAGACTTTTGTGTTTTCCCTAGACTGAAAGCAGATTTGAGGGGTCGGAGTTTTGATACAGAAGATGAGATCAAATATGCCGTGAGGTCCGCAATAAGAAGTTACACTCCAGAGTGGTATGCAGACATTTACCGGAAGTGGGTACAGCGGCACAGTAAGTGTATTGAACACAATGGGGACTATTTTGAAAAAGCATGAACGTGACGGTAAGTTGTTTCTAAAATATGAACGTCACCTGAACGTCGTTAGCGTCGTCGGCGTCGCCGAAGTGCTCCGTACGTGACATAGTGTGTAACATTAACGGGATGTTAAATATGTGTTACATTTATGAAAAGCACTGACTCTTATATATTCATGCAGCGATTTCTCTAAATTTGATATATGTCATTATATAAACATACACAAAATAACAAAGTTATCGTAAGAGCCCGGGAACTTTTTGACTATACCTCGTAGTACAAAATAAGTCAACCGTATGGATTAATCTATATGTTGGAGATGTAAATATAGTTTAGCAGTAGTAAAATAAAGATTAACACAAAATTGGCATACAGCACTATGAGCTTCTCCAAGAGCAAGAGCAAGTTGTGTATTGTTTTGTGATTTTGGCTTTCGATCATATCTGTCAATGGCTTAGGAAATCTTTTTCTTGTTTCAGGACTTCTTCACATAAAAAAGTAGGAACTGGTAGATGGCATAAACCTGAAGCAATTCCTTATATTTAGAAAGTAAATGTAATATTTGCTCTTAATTGATTTCATGTATAGTTAGACTGTCCAATGTACAATGCTTTGGGAAAGCAGCTTATAAATATATATTTTAGGAAAAGATAAAATATATCTAAATTTACTGAACTATTAACATAACAAAATGAAAATGTTATAAGAACATTATCAATGGTTATCTTTAGAATGTTTAAAATAAGAAAAAATGTTGAATACCTGTAAATTATATTTCTACAAGGTTTTCAAACTTTTATTTCCATTTTAAGTTTACAGCAAGTAAACAACATAAGATTCATTTTGTAATAATTACAGTGAATAATAAATACCTTCATAGGTAAATGAAATGTTTCTTCATCGATACCATTATATGAAACTTGTGCCTCATTTACACAATGATATCTAGTGGTAAATAATCTGTTTTAGGAAGGTATCGCATAAGGATGGTCATACCTGAAAAATTTGAGAAGAATGTTGTTCTACTTAAGTTCTTTAAAATTTTAAAAGCATTTTTGTTAAAATGAATAAACATTATTATTAAAATTAGATTTATGTCAGTGAAATACAGTGTAATTATCAAAGTTATGCTTTATAGACGATAAAACGTGAAATTTGTTAAATAAAAAGGATATTGCAAACATGCAAGAATACCATTTACATTATCTACAAAAGAGCAACAAGTGAAATGAACAGATAAGCAGTGTATTGAACCATTCATTTTAGTATGTTATTCATAGAAGATTTGAAGATTCCGTCCTGAAACGAACTACATTCTTTTGTGAGTTTGTGTAATAATAAAATAAACCGGTAAGATAATACAAGGGAAATAAACGCGTTTCATTCCTAAACAGTTGACAATATAAGTTGCATCTCTTAGAGCGCTTTAATTCGTGAAATATTCACTACTTCTTTATACTTCCTATTGAATATATGTAAAGATTATCCTGTATAGTGTAATGGCTTGGCAACAGGGGCTACTTCATGTCAAGATGACCTTTATTAACAAATAAGGTATGTGTTTAGCTAATATTTAATTATATGTCTGATCAAATATGCATGCATTTCCGTTTTTTGTTTGAATTAAAATAGAAAAGAAAGCAAATGCCTAGTGGGTAAGTTGTTTGCTATTCAACACAGGGTTGTGGGTTTGAGACTTACTCAGGCCACGACCGTGTTTTCTTATTCTACACCGGTACTGTTGAACTTCAGAAAGGGGTCTCGAGAGTGAAGTGTTTAAATGGCTTCAACGGTTTTGTCACAAATTGAACTAAAATCATGTAAATGAGTCAGCTTGTCGGTGTACATATTTTGTGTATGTTTTTGATATATCATACCCTAAATAAATGGAAACTTCTTTGTAATACTCGATCCTAAGTTATATTATTTTTGCTACATTCAAAATACAAGAAAAATCATGAAATAAAAAAATTGAAAAGAGTTAACCTCCTTTTCATATTGTCTCAGGTTAGTGTTCGTAAAGGTAAACATTGGCCGCCGTACAGTGCCTTACCTTTAGATAAAAATCGTATCTTTGGCTAATACTCCTAATTGCATGGGGGTAAATTATCATTACTTTGTCATTAATTATCATAGCATTACTATCAACCATTTAGGGACATTGATGACATGTCTGGGGTTTGTACTCGACAGCGACAGCTGATTTCTATGTCTTAACACCAAGGACCCTCATTAAGCATAGGACATTGTCTTAGATTTATTTTAAGTATATCAATCATTTCAATTTTATTTATTTTCCAATTTATTTTGCTCCGACCAGAAGTTTCAATCTTTGTGGCAACAAACATTTCAGAATTTCAGACATAGCATTACTTTGTGAATTTATGCAGTAGGTTCTACTTTTTCACAAAAATATGCATCTTAATTATTTAACAAAGAGCATATACCAAGAACATGGAGACAAAATTGATTTGTGCTTCGGATATTCAACTGTAATGGAGAACGATTTTCAATGCTGATTGACTGTTAACATCATTTGGCGGCGTCTTTGATGTGCAGCATCAACATATAACATATACATCAGGTGAAAGAAACAAAAAACAATATATATATATATAAAATACATGTAACGTTAAGTTCTTTTTTCAAATTGAAATTTTACGATTTCACCAGTACACCGGAAAATGTATTCCAGTAGTCACTTGAAAATACTAATAAGCTACTTCTGACAGAACACTTTATGTAAACTTTTGAATTTTTTTGAAGTTCGGCAACAGTGTCTGTAGCATAACATTTATTATATTTCTCTTCATAGAACCACCCTTTCTTTATTTCAACACCATCCGCAACTATAGCAAAATACATTTCTTTCCCATACCTAACACAAAACTGCACAGAAAACGTATATGTTCCCGCTACAGGTGCTGTAAATATCCCACTCTTGTTATCATACCCGAGACCTTCGTTCAACGTCGTCGTCTTAAACACAAGCGTTTCCCCAGAACTTGGTGTAAGGTCAACAAGGTCCTTACTTCTGAATGCGACTGTGGGCCCTAGATAAATGTAATTTAAATGTTTGTAAACAACATGTGGTGGGTGACAAAATCATGTTTAAATTGAAATATATGATATCAATAGATTAAACAAAGTTTATATTCATCTTTAATACTCATTATTTTTACTAACTTAAATAAAATTTGTTGAAAAACTATTTTTCTTTTAATTGAAGGAACACTTGTTGATGAATACAACACTGTATACAATCACTATCTCTTTTACCATCAGCTTAAAAATAATGTCAACTAAGTTAAGGATAATTTTACCTTTCAGTTTTTCTAAATCAGCAGCAAAGTTTCGAATACTTCTATTTGTTTCCTCTGTCATTTCGTTGGTCACACGTTTCAACTTTGCCATTTCATTCTGAATGCTTTTATTGGTTCCCTCCATGAAGTCGTTTGTTTCACGTTCCAATTTTATCTTTTCATTATTCCAGTCGTCACTAAGCTGCTGTGTTGTTTCTGTCAGCTTTCCCAGGGTGTCAAACACTTGCTGCTGCGTTGCCGCCATATCCGCCTGCAGTTTTTCCATGGCTATTTCCTGTCGAATCATTTTGTTTAAAGTTTGTTCCTCATAGTGGAATCTGGAACATTCTGGTTCCGACAGCACTGCAGTGATAAACAGTAAGGTAACTAAACGTTGAAACATGTTTATGTTTTGCCTCTTTCGAAGGAACTACTGCGATATTCAAAGGCAGGAGTCTTTTATGCTAGGATACTTGTAATGAAATAATTTGTAGAAGGGTTGTTTCGCAAGTTATCATATTTGATTTAGATTTCAATGCTTTTTTAACTATCAGTTATCACAAAATGCTAGTAATGTCATCCTCTAAAATGTTTATTCATTATTATTTCATTATATTAAGTTTGGCTTCAATGAAATTGAGTGTTGATAAAATCATTGTAAAAAATGAGAAAAATGATCAACAAGGCAAGGCAACGTTCCACTACACAAACTAGCCACGCCAATAACTGCATAACTCTCTCACATGAAAGAATCCAAAGTCCATTTCATGTCTCAAACTCATAGCGGTGAGGTACAAGTTGCTTAAAGTTAACAATCTTAACCACTCGACCACAGATGCCTCTACGACGGTAACTGACACTTTTTGTTTAACATCTTTGCTATATTTGAATACAATTCCGGCCAGTAAAATAGTTTACGTTAAAAGGTTCTTTCTTCATCTTATTTTCATCGTTTGCATTACAAGTTATGTGTTTGTTTTCAGTTTGCTTTTGTTTTCTTTCAGCATTCATGCAACTTAGAAATTTTATTTATCGTGTTAACGTCAAATTCAGATAATCATAATACAATTACTGGTGTTTGATCTATCATTGTTTATAACAATAAGTCATTATATTGACCCATTATATTGAGTTTTGTTTAAATGGAAATTCATATTCATGCATTTTATACCTTGCAACAGACGGTTACAGCGGCAGACAATGTAAATGATTGATTTCATGCTGTGGGTCGGGATTAATAAGATCATGTTATTTGCCATCTTTTGTTTACTTTGGGACATGTACATGTAAACCTGAATACATTTGTTTTCTCGGACGAATTTCATTTATGAATGAAAAAGATTCATGTAAGTAAACATATACTTTCTTTTTGTATATAGATACATTATTAACCATCCCTCTGATGGTTGCTTAATTTTTCTGGTGTTTGTGCTACTTTTCTAAATCACATCAACGTTTATCACATTAAATATAACCTGTTTTTGTTTTACATATTTAGAAATAGTGCTAATGTAATAATTTATTATTTTGAAACAGCACCAACGGATGGCGGAAAAGATTTTGACGTCAATTTTGCGTTTATCAACAACAGAAATTTCAAAGAAACAGATTCTAAACAGACAGTGCTGTTCTTCGTTATCATGATTTTGTAGGCTAACTTTTTCATCAATTTTACATTGCTAAAAAGCCTCATGCCTTCCGAATTATGTTGTTCGTT